ATGCCGGAGACATTAAGCTTCAAACTTTGCCCCATTCATTTCCAAAGGGGAAATTTCTGTAAAAAACAGCTGAATATCTTAAAAAGTATAAAAGTTATATACAAGCACACATGTCCTTAAGGAGATAAACAATTTGATACCTCAATGGCCCTTCTAGGTGAAAGTATGTGGAAGGAGTTAGGTGCCGAAGAACAGTGGTAGACACCAGAATAATAAAGAACAGGATAACATGCATCCACACAATAAAGAACAGGAGAGCATAGTGTGGATGCTTGACAGCATCCACACAACTAGAACGCAACTGACAGGAGCACCATATGACTACTACCATTTCTTGTAAACATGTTATATTTTAGTGTGTGTGCAAGGACCCAAATGCAAACAAGAAGCAAGGTTTGATAAGAACAATGGCAGTGTCATGATTCGGTTCCATTGCTTCCTGTCGTGCTTTTATTTTGACATTATTTCCTGTTTTTGATTCACCTCAGTTTTGGTCTTTTTTACTTTAATAATCACTCACATTAGTTTCACCTGCTCCCGATTGTTTACACCTGTTTTCACCGCATTATAAGCAGCCTTCCCCCATCAGTCCCCTGCCAGATTGCTCTAGACTCCAGCTCTGACTCTCCAGCATTTTTTCAGTTTTGGTATTTTGTGTTTTGACCCGGATCATATACTTTGATAATTCTGTTCTGCCTTGCCCTCGTGTTTCGGACTGCTGCCTTGCGTATGAATTATTGGACTTCGCCTTTGTACTACAAACTTTGGATTCCCTTTGCTGTATGTGTTTGCTGGCTCTGACCATGGACTGCATCATCACTCTGTAAGTGTGTTTCATGTGTTCACCGTGTCTTGTCTCATTTTTGTTATGTGTTAGTGCTCTTAATAAAGAGACGGTTATTCACATATCCTTGTCTGGCAATTTAATAGATTTCACCCACGACGTTATCGGCAGCGTCACGCGCCGATCCTGACAGTACAATCTGGCCAAATGAACTCAGCCAGCAAGGACATCAGAGCCAGCCGATCACTAGTCCTGCCGTATACACCCACCATTACACACATAACCATGAATCCCACGGACACACCCAACAACGTTGCAGAAACTTAGCAAGCTCTGCCACCAGCTCTACAACCTCCAACTCATGGAGACCTACCTGAGCTCAGCAAAAGCCCAGGACATTTATCAGCAGTTAAAGGTCCAGATGGCTTCTCCACTTTCCCTCTCCCTTCATGGGAACCCGTGGGCTATCTGCTCTGGGGGTCCAGGGAAAGA